CAAAGTAGTTGCATAATATGACTTTGTCAAAATCAAGAAAAAATAATTTTCTTCAAACAAGAATAATAAACATGCATATAAGGAGGATAGTCTCCATGCTTGTGATTGAAAATAGAAGGCGTCAAAATCCAGCCTCTAAATGAAAATCAAAATCGCGAAAGGCAACATCAAAACCATTCTAGCAGAATAAAGAGCTTCAAGAAAAGTAGCTCCAACCTTCTACACCAATAAAAGAAGGTCCATCGAAAAAAAGCCAACGGAAAGGCTCGATAATCCCCAAGCGGATCCTTGCCTACTCCAAAGGCAACACAAAAATTACTCCACGACTCAGCATCATCATCACATGAGTCGTCAACCACAGTCATTTGAAACTTCAATCAACATCCTTCCATCTAAAAAGTAGGAAGCCATCAACGTAGAAAAGCCAACGGAAAGGCTTGATCATCCCCAAGAGGATCCTTGCCTACTCCATAGACAAAACAAAAAAGAATTACCTCATGACTCAGCTGCATCACCACATGAGTCATCAAGCACACTCATGCAAGAGTCTCCGCTTCATTCCCCAAAGGAGAATAAGGACTACACAAGAATCCATCAAAGAAAATACGAAGTCAAATCCTCCATATCACCAGGGGGCAACAAAAAGAAAGAAAAGAAAAACTTTCATTCCCCAATAAAGGCCACAACGAAAAAAGCCAAATAAAAAATCTCCAAGAAGAGCATATCAAGAAAAGTCTACAAAAGACAAAAAGAAGAAAAATCTCTTCATCCCGCTCAAATAAGAGCTTCACAAAAGACCAGGAAACCGACAGACTCCTCGGTGAATCTCCAAAAAAAAGAAAAGAAGAAAATTTCTTCATTCCGCTCAATGAAGAGCTTCACAAAAGACCAGGAGCTCAAGACTCCATCATCATAAAAAAAATCAAATCAAGGATTAGATCCCCTAAGAAAAGAAAAATTCTCCAGGGATCGCTAAAAAAAGAAAAGAAAAGAGATATCTTTTCATCCAAAGAAAAAGCCAATGTGCATAAAAAGGCGCACATATAAACCCATTCCCCAGCAGGAATAAGAGCATAGGCAAAGCCAGCTCAAACAACAGCATCCAATAAGGAGTCAAAAACTCCATTCCTTCCTAGGGGGCAATTCAAAATAGATCCCCAGAAAACAACCAAATCCCTGGTGGATTACCAAAAAGAAAAATCCCCAGCAAGCCTACCAGCAAAGGCAAACTACAAATTCATATCCTCAGGGAGTTAATCACCTATAGCGCCCAATATGGATATCCCCAGCGAAGTGCAAAGCCTTCACTCCCAACAAGAGCCTCTGCCTAAGGCGAGCAAAAAACTGATATCCCCAAGAAATGGGAAATCAACCTATAAGAGGTAATACAAGCACAAAGCTTCCAATAAAGCATCTGCCTACTCAGAGGTATTATCAAGAGCAAATATCCTCAAGTAGAACATCAGCCTATTCAGAGGCGAAAAACAACAAGTAAAAAGCCTTCACCACTATCGAAGCATCTGCCTAATCAAGAGGCACAATAAAAAATCAACAAATCCCCAATGGATTCCTGCCTAAATAAGAGGCAACCAGCAAAGAATCCCCGGCAAAGCCGGATGGCTAAAAGAAAAAGCCAAAACAATGGAATCCCCGGCCAAGACCGGATGGCTGAAAGAAAAAGCCAAAACAAAGAATCCCCGGCCAAGACCGGATGGCTAAACAAGAAAAGCCAAAAACAAGAATCCCCGGCAAAAGCCGGATGGCTAAACAAGAAAAGCCGAAAACAAAGAATCTCCACCAAAGACCGGATGGCTAAAAGAAAAAGCCAAAACAATGGAATCCCCGGCCAAGACCGGATGGCTAAACAAGAAAAGCCAAAAACAAGAATCCCCGACAAAAGTCGGATGGCTAAACAAGAAAAGCCGAAAACAAAGAATCCCCGCCAAAGACCGAATGGCTAAAAGGAAAAGCCAAAACCCAAAGAATCCCCGGCAAAAGCCAGATGGCTAAACAAGAAAAGCCAAAAACAAGAATCCCCAGCAAAGACGGATGGCTAAAAGCCAAAAAACAAAGAAACCCCGGTAAAACCGGACGACTAACAGAAAAGTCAAAACAAATATTCCCCAAGGAATAGTCACATGATCAAAGACAGTAAGCCGCCGAAAATTCTCCAAAAGCCCGTTAAGGGTATGAACTCATCAATCAAAAGATTGAATGAGAAGAGCCTTGTCAAGATGCAGGTTCGCACCCAGTGGGGGTGTAAAAACCACTAGAACCTTGTCAAGATGCAAGTTCGCACCCAGTGGGGGTGTAAAAACCACTAGAGCCTTGTCAAGATGCAGGTTCGCACCCAGTGGGGGTGTAAAAACCACTAGAGCCTTGTCAAGATGCAGGTTCGCACCCAGTGGGGGTGTAAAAACCATTAGAGTCCGTCAAGATGCGAGACTCGCACCCAGTGGGGGTGTAAAAACCACTAGAGCCTTGTCGGGATGCGGGTTCGCACCCGGTGGGGGTGTAAAAACCACTAGAGCCTTGTCAAGATGCGGGTTCACACCCGGTGGGGGTGTAAAAACCACTAGAGCCTTGTCAAGATGCAGGTTCGCACCCAGTGGGGGTGTAAAAACCACTAGAGCCTTGTCAAGATGCAGGTTCGCACCCAGTGGGGGTGTAAAAACCACTAGATCCTTGTCAAGATGCAGGTTTGCACCCAGTGTGGGTGTAAAAACCACTAGAGCCTTGTCAAGATGCAGGTTCGCACCCAGTGGGGGTGTAAAAACCACTAGAACCTTGTCAAGATGCAGGTTCGCACCCAATAGGGGTGTAAAAACCACTAGAGTCTGTCAAGATGCAGATTCACACCCAGTGGGGGTGTAAAAACCACTAGAATCTGTCAAAATACAGATTCAGACCTGGTGGAGGTAGGTACCCATCAGAATCTGTCAAAATAACAGATTCGGACCAGGTGGGGGTAGGTACCCATCAGAATCTGTCAAAAATACAGATTCGGACCAGGTGGGGGTAGGTACCCATCAGAATCTGTCAAAATACAGATTCGTACCAAGTGGGGGTAGGTACCCACCAAAACCTTATAAAATAAGGTTTGTACCGGATGAGGGTAGGTACTCATCAAAACTTAGCAAATGCATCAGGTAGAGTAAAATACTCACCAGAAGCATTACAAAAAACGGGTGCAAAAACGTTGCTTCTATTAGAGGATAGTTCAGTGTTGAGCACCTCGGAAGTAAGTACCCACAAGAGTCTAGCAAAATGCGAACTCATACCAGGTGAGGGTAGGTACTCACCAAAACCTTGCAGAACAAGGTTCATACCTAGTGGGGGTAGGTACTCACTAAAGTCTAGTAAAATACAGACTTATACCTGGTGAGGGTAAAGACTCACCAGAGCCTTATAAAAGAAGGCTCAAACCAGATAGGGGTTAGTACCTATCAAAATATTTATCATCCGAAGGATCAGCAAGGAGCAGCATCCGAAGGATGACCGGGCAAAAGGGTTAACTCCTTCCCCTACCAACTAATTTTTTGGCATATTGATCGATGTCGTACTCGGTCAAATAATTAAAACAAATAAATGTAGTACTAGGAAGCTTTCCTAGGTCATCTCCCAATGACCACAAATTTCTATCAAAGTTTATCAATTTTTAAATTTAGAACAGTAACAAAAAAAAAAGGAGTTTTTCAAAATTAAAATATTAGATGAACCAGAACAAAAACAGATTATAAAAATGCGGATTAAAATAGATTAAAATGCAATTGATTTTCTGATTCTAATGCAACGTCACTTATCCTAGATTACGAAATTAATTCGAAATTAAGCAACTAAGCGAAGATAAATCCCAAATTATATTCTAATCCAAAATTAATCAACTAAGCGAAGATTAATCTCAAATTAGTTTTAACCCTTGTTCCAATATGAAATTAACCAACTAAGCGAAGATTAATCCCAAATTTTCCTTAAACAATTAAGCATTGCATACATCACATAATCTCATATCTAACACAGAATTAAGCAAACTGTGATATAAGTTTCGGTTTATTAAGCACAAACAGATTATAATTCAATACTGAGATTAGAAGATGAAGAGTTAAGAGAACAAACAATATGAAATTGAAGAACAAAACCTCAAAGATCTACTTGCATTCTTCTCAGAAAATCAATACAAAGATTTAGCTATCCATAGAAAGTTGAAAACGCAATAGAAGAAACATAATTAAAATTGAAACAAGAATTTAAAAATAATGACAGAAGAGTAACAAACTTGAATGTAAATTGCAGAAGATGAAAGACGGAAGTGTGGTGGCTGCCTAGTCCTTGTGTGTTGATATCTCCTTTTCGTGTGATGTGCCTCTCTTATATAAATAACCCTAACCCTAATCTTAATCGAGGTTTGGGCTCAACTAGTCCATGAAACACATCATAAATTGGCTTCAGTGCAGGTCCATGAACTTCAAACACGTGCAGTATTTTCAATACTTATCCAAATTAAGCGATTTTGGTCTCCAACGAAAGCCTTTTGAGCTAGCTTTAAAACGCCACCGTTTCTACTATTTTCGGAGCTCTAATGAATTTAGGAGACTTAAATTACTGAAGCATGTCCATTGGGCCGGCCTGGTGCGCTTGACCCATTTTGGATAATTTATGTAAAATCCAATTTAGCTCCGAATTGAATGATTTTGGATCCTGTGGAAAGCTCAATGTCTCTAGTTTATAATTATTTCAGAATTATGTTATTTGGAGATCTGTAGAAAAAATGATAAATAAAACAATAAACTAATGTCAGTACCCGTATAAAATAAAATATGACATTTGGCCCAACTTTTCAAGTCCAAAATTACTTTAAACTGTCATAAAATTAATAATGAGTAAAAATTAGATCAAATAGATTAAAATCTAAATTATTAGCCCAATGAAGCCCAATCAATGAAAATGCACTAATAATAGACAATTAAACACAATGCACCAATTAAGATAAGTATATAAAGATAAGAAAATGCGGGAAAATAATGACTCATCAAATTCCCCCACACTTAGCCTTTTGCACTCCCGGGCAAAATCAAGAAGCAAAGCAAGGAGCAATTCCAAAGACATCGAAGAGAGTGACATAACAAAAAGGTGCAAGAACAAGAAGACACACAAAACCCAAACAAATTTACACAATCCTTAATGAATCTTGGGAAAAGAAAGGAGTAGACAACATCCTACACACAAAGAGTCAGAGGAACCAGATACTCATGGAAATCATCCAAGCATTTCAAAACCTGGCAAGAGGTCAATCAGGTCAAAAGGTGAATCAAAGTGACAAAACCTCACAAGATGCACTGTATCTCTCATGTGTTTAGGCTACTGTATACTCTCAAAATACTCAAGAAAAGCAAACAACAGATAGACTTGGCAAGCCTCTAAACTCAACACCCAACGCACATGCATAAAAAGATCAAAAGGTCTTTTTAGGTTGTAATGGGGGTAGGGACAAGGTAGAGGATCTCATATAGGATAAGTAGCTGTGAACCGGAGGAACTAGAGGAGCAATGGGGAATAAGTCAAAAATAAGCACAAGATGCATGCCCAAAAACCTCTAATATCAAACCTCCACTACTGCCTTTACCTCAACCACAACTTTCCTTTCTTTTTTTTTTTTGTTTGTTTTTTCTTTATATATATATATATATATATATATATATATATATATATTATATATATCTTCTTCTTGTTTTTTTTCTTCCTTTTTTTTTTCTTCCTTTTTTTTTTTTTTTTAAGAAAGGAAAACACAAAGACTATATAGCAGAGATAATCAACTAGCCAATACATCATCCAATGAAATACAAAATGCACCCCCACACTTATTCAATAACTTATTCCCAAAACAATTCCAAAGCTCCAAAAATCCCTAAGGTTAAGGTAATCATGGTTTTTCACTTAAGGCTTTTAATGAGCTTCAAAAGAAATAAAGGGAAACATAGGCTCAAAGGGGCTATCAAAGGAATTAATTCAAGGTAGGCTCATTTGGCTAGAGGCTAATCAGAACAAAAATGCCTTAATCATCTCCAAACATGCATGTGAATCAAGAAGTATCAATCAGAGTCAAGCCAAGGCTACTGCGCAAGCAATCAAGAGGCATAACACTCAAGAAAGAAAGGTAGTGGCTCAATTCCTCACAAAGGGTAAGATTGTCGCCTTCAATTCAGCCTCTCAAACATCGTAACCAATTTGACAAGCAGAGAAAAACAGGGATTTCAATCCAAAAAGCATAAAGCAACTCCTATCTAAGAGTGAAGAAAGTGCCCAAAACCTAAACAAAACCTAGAGATCCAAAAGAAACATGCAAATTGTACACAAAACATGAACCTGAAACACAAAGAAAACTAAAAATCCTAAACAAAGAAAACAAAGAACAGTCTCCCCCACACTTAAACTACAAATTGTCCCAATGTAGCATAACATCAAGTCATATCCATTAAACAAATAGGACAAGCAAGATAAAAGAGTTGAAGGGGAAAGAAGAACTCCCTAATCATGGTGGGTCCCGGATCTATCTCCTCAGATGGTACAGGTGTTGAGGTCATCAAGTAGCAACTTTGTTCCGCTAAAACAAACAAAGTCTTCCTCATCATGGTGGTTCCTGGATCTATCTCTTCAGATGGGTGTTTCATGGCATTTAGAATATTAAAGTACACCACAATGTCATCAAATTCCATGGATAAGGTCCCTGCATGCACATCAATCTTGGTTCTTGCAGTCTTTAAAAATGGTCTTCCTAAAATGATGGGTGCAGATCCATGGGAGAATCCCTCCTCCATATCAAGCACATAGAAATCAACAAGAAAAATGAGTTCACCAATCCGAACTAAGACATCCTCAATGAAACCTGTAGGGTGGGCTACACTCCTATTTGCTAGTTGTATCACCACACCCGTAGGTTGCAGAGGTCCAAGAGATAAAGAATTAAAAATGGACAAAGGCATAACATTAATTGAAGCACCCAAATCAAGCATTGCATTCTCAAATTTATTATTGCCAATAATACAAGGTATGTAGAATGTACCTGGGTCCTTACATATTTCTCAGGAATGTAAGGAACAGATTTACCTATCAAAGCAGACACATTTCTGCCCATACTGATTATCTCATTGCCCTTCATCTTCCTCTTGTGGGTGCACAGCTCCTTCAGGAATTTAGCATATCTGGGAATTTGCTTGATGGCATCAAGCAGAGGTATGTTCACCTCAACTTTCTTGAAGGTCTCTAGAATCTCTTTATCAACCTCGTCCATCTTTTTGCTTGGAATTGCTTTGGGAGGGAATGGAAGAGGGATATGAGGCTGTTGCAGTTCAGAACTGGGGCTGGAAGAAGGTCCATCTATATGCAATTTTTGACTACCAACTAGTTGCTCAGGTGCAGGAACTGAGGCAGCTACAGATGAGGGTGGAGGTGTTGCAGTGGGTATGTCAATCTGTTTCCTTTACCTCAATGTGATGACACTCACATTCTTAGGATTAACCACAGTCTGTGCAGGGAGCTTGTCTGAATTTTGATTTTGCAATTGATTCACAGCAGTAGCTAGTTGACCAATCTGGTTGGTTAAACTCTGAATGGAGGCATCATTTTTCTGTTGGTATTGTATGTTCATCTCAGCCATTTGTTTGACCAATTCCTCTAATGAAGGTGAAGAAGGTTGAGGAGCTGGTGCTTCATTTTGCTGCCTCTGATATTGTTGTTGCATTGGTGGAGGCACATAAGGTCTGCTTGGACCAACATAATTCTGAAATGGTGGTGGTGGCAAAGGATTCTGCTGCTGTTGGTGTTGCTGATTGGACCATCTCAAATTTGGGTGATTCCTCCACCCTGGATTGTATCTATTGCTTGAGAGGTCAGAATTATGTTGTTGGTTCGGAGCCCTATTATTGAAAATGTTTGCTGCATAAGCTTGTGGAGCTCCAGAACTTGTAGACTCATGCAATAATTGGCAGCAATCAGTAGGATGCTCAATTGAAGTACAAATGCCACAAACCCTTGCAGGTGGTGCAGGTCTCGATTTGCGAGCAAGTTGGGAGACTAGGGTGGTGAGGGCATCAATCTTACTTTCTAGCTTCTTCTCCACTAAATCTGATGAACCCACATCATGTACACCTCTAAGGACTATGGCATCACTCCTCATGTTAAATTGCTGGGAATTGGATGCCATCTTCTCAATTAAATCTCTAGCGGCAGCAGGTGTCATGTCTCCTAAAGCTCCTCCACTAGCTGCATCTATCATACTCCTATCCATTGTGTTCATCCCCTCATAAAAGTACTCGCGACGAGTAGGCCGTTCGATATTTGGTGGTGAGGGCAACTTGCACAAAGTCTCTTGAACCTCTCCCAATACTCGTATAAGCTCTCTCCCATCTGTTGCACGATACCTGATATATCCTTCCCGATGGCGGTGGTCCCGGAAGCGAGGAAAAATTTATCTAGAAAGACTCTCTTCAGATCATCCCAGCTCGTTATGGGACTAGGAGCTAAGTAGTACAACCAGTCTTTGGCAAGATCCTCCAAAGAGAAAGGAAAAGCCTTCAGGTATATGTGATCTTCAGGAACATTTTGTGGCTTCATGGTGGAGCAGACTATATGGAACTCCTTGAGATGCTTGTGTGGATCCTCACCTGCACGACCATGAAACTTGGGCAACAAATGGATTAGTCCAGTTTTAAGCACAAATGGTACATCCTCTTCAGGGTATTGGATACATAAATTTGCATAAGTGAAATCAGGTGCAGCCATCTCCCTGAGAGTCCTCTCACGAGGTCCAATAGGTTGATCACCCATGTTATTAGTTTGGAAATTATCAGAAGAAGGTATATTAGGTGCAGTACTCTCACTATGACTATCTAATGATTCAGACTCAAGAGATGAATTCCTAGAATGTTTAACTAATCTATGAAAGGTTTTGTCTATCTCGGGATCAAAAGGTTGTAAAAGGTCAGGATTGCTCCTAGTCATGCACTATATTCAACAATTCATGTATTTCCCAAGAGTTAAAAAAAATTTCCTAAAAAAAATCGGTTGTTTATCTGGAAAGACAACGGTAGACCAGTGAATAAGTACACCAGGTAGGTTCCCGGGAAAGAGAGGTGGGTCACTAATGGACACGCTTAAATACCAAATCTTTCCTAGCCAGAACCCTCCTAGACATGCACTCTCACACTACCAAGCTATATCCAGAGTTTCTTATGAGAATGGAATTTATAAATTTTTTTTTTGAATAAAACTAGAAAAACAAATTAGAGATGAAATTGTTTTTTATTTATATATATATATATATATATATATATATATATATTTTAATATTTTTTTATTTTGTTATTTTGTTTTTTTATTTTGTTTTTTTTTTAACCAAAAAGAGTTTTAGAACACAGTGGGCTATCAAAATAGTATTAAGAGAAGTAAGAATTTTAACTTAACTAGAAAATCAAATAAAATATCCAAATAACTGAAAATCAAATATTAAATAACTAAAAATCAAATAAAATATCTAAATAACAACAAATCAAATAAAATATCTAAATAACTGACAAATCAAATAGAATATTAAATAACTAACAATCAAATAAAATATTTAAATAACTGAAAATCAAATAAAATATTCAATTAACTGAAAATCAAATAAAATATCCAAATAACTGAAAATCAAATATTAAATAACTAAAAATCAAATAAAATATTAAAATAACTGCAAATCAAATAAAATATCCTAATAATAGCAATCAAATAAAATATTCAAATAACTGAAAATCAAATAAAATATTTAAATAACGAGTAAATCAAATAAAATATTCAAATAATAGCAAATCAAATAAAATATTTAAATAACTAACAAATCAAATAAAATATAAAAAAAAAACTGAAAATCAAATAAAATATTTAAATAAAATAAAATAAAAACAAAAAAATGAAAACAGAAACAGAAAATAAAAATTGAAAACCTAGACAAAAATCTTGGTCCCCGACAATGGCGCCAAATTTGATCGATGTCGTACTCGGTCAAATAAATAAAACAAATAAATGTAGTACTAGGAAGCTTTCCTAGGTCGTCTCCCAATGACCACAAATTTCTATCAAAGTTTATCAATTTTTAAGTTTAGACATAAAAATTAAAAAAGGAGTTTTTCAAAATTAAAATATTAG